AGGACGGGATTCTTCCCAATGCCTGGGAGGGAGTCTGTTTGTCTGTATGCTATGGCTCGGAGCAGGGCGGGAGAAGCACCCCTCTTTCCAGTACAATGCCCTAGCTCTCAATTGAGCGCAGTGTTCCCCAGGCCTGAGTTTCCCTGCTTTCCCCCTTTTACACTGACCTTCTGGGTGCTTCTCGGGAGAAGATGGGGGCAGCTGCCTGGCTGCATGCAGAGGGAATTCAGAATTCTACCTGCTTCTTTTTGGAGATTTCAGTGAGTTCTCTTTTAAGTTCCACGGGCAGCCCCACATTCAGAGCCAGCTGTCACCTCCAGCTCCTGAGGCTTTCTGAGCTGTGTGCAATGGGTTAGTTTGTGTTTGCCAGAAGTCCATTCCACAATGACTAGAAATGAGTTGGAAGTGGGTACATACCGGCTTTTCATCAAGGCCAGCATTTGCACTCTTCCCTAGCACAGCAAAGGAGAGGAGGCCCTCTCTACATTTGTGTCACGTTGCATCCCTTTCACAAGCTGTTGCTGTCACAGATGACTTTTTTTGCACATGAGCAAAGAATAATGGGGGGTAAAATTCAGTTTTTTCCTTTATGCCGTCAACAACATAAACTTATTCAAATTTCAATCTAGATCATTTTCATGCTGTTTTAGATATGTTAGTTATTTAGCTATTGGGTTGGGCAAATACTGATTTCTTTTACAGATGTCTGTGATAATGATATTCACGTTTCTGGTGGCATGGTCCCCTTACTCAGTCGTGTGCTTATGGGCTTCTTTCGGTGACCCAAAGAGGATCCCTCCCTCGATGGCCATCATTGCTCCACTGTTTGCAAAATCTTCTACATTCTACAATCCCTGTATTTATGTGGTTGCCAATAAAAAGTAAGTAATGTTTAAAAGGCTTCTGAACAAAATAGTGGATACAGGAAGAATATTTAAAAAGACCACAATGTTCTAAGACTTCTGGGGAGGAGATAAGTGACAGAAACTCACTTTGAAAAAGTTCTTAAAAGTTGTTTGACTCATGCAACTGGAGAACCTTACATGCCTAGAGCTCCAGTTCCATGACAGGCTCTTCCCACAGGGAGGCGAGATGATCGCAGGCAACCCTGAACCCAAGTTCTACCAGCTCAGCAGCCCTGAATTCAAGTTTCATCTCAGATGACTCTCTGGCAGAGAAGCTGCTGGCTCAGCAGCTTCTTTTGGTTACCCCACCCAAAATACGTGGAACTGGTATTTCCAAGAAAAGAGTAGTTCTATTACCAGGTAATGGACAAGGCAAGGCAACGCTGGGCTCCCTAAATGGGGAGCATAGTTGTATATTTACTGGAAGGAAGACATGCCATTCAAATGCAAGAGAAAAATCCCAGGCTTCAGGAGAGGGTGGTCATGTAGGACTACGGAGAAAGAAACCCATCCCTTTTGTTAGGACTCTTGGTAAGGATTTCTTTTCTGCCTCCTCAGTGAAACTTGGATTATTTCATTTTCCTTTGCTTCTGGAAGATGGAATGAAGCAATCTACTGAGCTTATATCTCAGTACAGGTCAAGTATTTTGACCCTGGAATGTCAATGCTGTTTCTATTGAACTGATGCAAGTATGCACATACCTGGGAGAGCAGCTTTAGTTATAGCCATGTGAAGAAGTACAAAAACTTTATGGCTACACAGACCCTATAAGAAAAAGTAAAGAACGCGTGTTAAATTCAGTCTGTTGATAGTTCTTTTGGAAAGATCGATCATTCTCAAGGTCCCCTTAATTTCAGCTGGCCTTTGCTCAGAAGAGCAGATGCATGAAATGCATATCCCTTGTTCAAATAAATAAATGATTGCAGCTGGCATTAGAAGTGTCATTTAAACACATAATTACTGATTTTTATTAAATGTCTCCAATGTTTATAATTAATGACACAAAATTGGTCTTCAACTATACCATGTACTTTCTTCATTATAAAGGTTCTCAACAGGAGAGAAAGTTGGAGGCAAAAATCTATCTGGAAATGTCAACTGGCAGTAGTGGCATCTTAGCCATATGTGAAAATGTTTTAAAATTTCAAGTCATTATAGGATAGTGCCAGATTTTCCCTTTTTATTGTAGGTTTCGGAGGGCGATCTTTGACATGTTCAAATGTCAAACCCATCCAGCTATGCCTGTGACAAGTCTTTTGCCAATGGATGTACCTCAAAACCCATTGACTTCTGGAAGAATCTGAAAAAAAAAGAGGAAAACACAAGTTATCAAAACCCTTTATTTACTTGTTTGCAATGTTTTAACTTTATTTAAAATATGAGCCTTTTTAGGTCAAATGCAGACATAGATTATTGTCCTAATAGACTGAATTCCTCAAGTGTAGTTTATAGTTCTTCTGTTTGTGCACTGACTACCATAGGGAATATTTCTTTATTTCCTTATATGTAAACTTACTGTTCATCTCCTTTGATGAGTCCAGACACATGAGATTAAGGCCTCTTCTCTTTCTCTCTGTCATGGCGTGCATTACGCTGTGTCGATGACCTGGTATCTTGCCTGAGCAGGGTATAACTATGATAATAATATAATTAACACTCTTTAATAAATAATTACTGAAGTGAGTTGTTGGACACTCCTAGCTAGGGACTTTGTCTAGTTTGTTTTTGGAGAATGCCAATATGTGGCAATATTGATAACTCTATTCTAAATCAATTTTTTATCATGTGCTTCTATTCTTAAAGCTAAATTTTGTAAAAGTGATTGTTATGCATACTGGTGAAAAAAGCAAATGCACAAAATAAAATTTATAATATTATAATGTAAATAGTCCGCAGTTATTTTCTAGTATCTTCTAAGAACTGGATTATTTTTAACATTAAGTATAGCTTCAAAGTGTAGTAACAATTACATCCATAGGAAAAGAATTTAACAGGTATTTTCTTGCAAATCTAGATATGGGCAACTAATGAAATTTTCTTGACATGTGTTTGATTTTCATTTTCCCTAGAATGTGTTACTTTGCTGAAACCATATTCAAAGGCTAGGAAGATTGATCCCCCACAAGATACACTTGAAGGTTAAGTAACTACAGATCTCAGCTAATCCTGCATAATCTGCGCTTACTAAATGGCTGTTTGCATTCCAGTCACTCTAGTTTCTAAATGCTTAGGATTTGTTTTTACCCTTTGTTCAAATAACCTCTAAAAGGAGCAATGCATCTCTTAGCATGTCTGGGCATGGTGCTTAGCTTTTTGGAAGAAGTGAGCTGTTCGTGCCCTTCACAGTGCACCTGCGGTTATCACAGCAGCAGCGACGGCCTGGGATCAAGGTATGCTCCTCTCCTTGCTACTAAGTGCTCTCATGATTCGGAGAAAAAGGACTCTGCCAGCAGCTCTATTTTGAAATCAAACTGTCGATCAGAAATCAGAGGAGAGAAGGTTTAATTGACATAAGATTTAACTTAATTATATTAATATGGGGTGTCAGCTCCATTGTTTTCGTCTTGGGCAGCTCAGCTCTTAAAAGCCCCTCAAATCATTTGAGACTCAAACACATTCTGAGTTACAAAAATGTTCATTGCACTTGTGTTGACAAAATGCTCCTTTCAGGAGGTCAAGTTGAAATGTGTGTGGCCAGCTCAGCCTGATTATAGAAAGCAGGGCAGGTCAGCAGGTGCTGGATGTGCCCTGATCATTTGCTTCCTGGTTTTCCATTTCCTTTGAGGGTTATTCATAAACAATTGCATACTTATACATGAGGACTTCAATATAGAAATTACATGCAAAGTGGAACTTTTGTTAATTAAACATGATGGATCATGATATTTTGAAGAAAATATTTAGTGACAATTTCAGATTTTTTTTATGACTCAGTTGTTGGTTTTGTGAGTTTAGAGGTTATTTGAACAGTGAGCTTCTTAAAAAATAATTTGTTGAAAAGAGTCACTCAATTTATGTTCTATAACTTTAAACAAATCAACAAAAATGAAAACATGTTATTGGGTAGTTTGTCTTGTTATTCCATAAACTTTACTTAACCAACTCTTGGTATCTTTTTGAGAAATTCACTAGGTGGTTTTGGACAATGAGAAGAATTTAACAAATTAAATACCTACTTGACAAAAGACGTGTTAGCAGTTAATGAGTCAGGCCAGGGTGCTTTTGAGAAATAATCATAGAAGTGTTTCCTTCTTCTTGGTGGCACCACTATTCATGGATTTTATGAAAATCACAGTGTATTACTCTTGGTAAAAGCTCTAGAAATAATCTAGCTCTACTGCTGTTATTTTACAAATGAAGAAATGAAACCATCCAGAGGCTAAATGACTTCTCCAAGGTCATAGCATGAGTTGATACAGTGACTGGCTGATAAAAGACACTGGGTCTTTCAGCTTCCAATCCAGGCTTTTTTTTCCCATTACCCTGACATGCCAACTTAGGGAGTAGAAACTGGATCATTCTGGTCTAAAGTAGCACTGAAATTTGTGGAAGGAACAGAGATGGAGAGCAGGAGGCATCCCGAGAAATGCAGTGCTTCCGTACGATCTTCTCCTAACGGTACAGACGGGAGATGGTAGCGGTACATCTGCTTCGTGCCGTTCCACCTCTCTTTGCGGCACGGGCTGACTTTCAGAGTTCACCGATTTAATGTGATGTGTTTCATCAAGTGGCTGTTATGTTGTTACTGTTTACTACATGTGTAAATGTGTTGTGATTTGGATCCTGCTTTGTAAAATGTTTCATTGTTCATTTTCAGCAATCCAGTGGGAATGAGTATACAGCGTGAGATAAACTGATCTTTTTCCAAGTTATAAGGCATCTAAATTCTCTGATTCTTCATGCTTCACACCCACATAGTGGACAGGCTTGTTTTCCAATGCATGATTTGCATGTGCCACTAAGCAAGATCACAGTGTGACTTGCTCAAGGTCACTTAAGTTAGAGAGTAGTAAAAGGAATAAACTTGCTGTTTCTGGTTCATTCCTTGGCTAGAAGTCACATTGTTAAAATAGAGCTCACCTTTGAACATCTAGTGTGAACACTTGTTCCTTCCTTCCTTAAGAAACACCTGTAACTCCAACAGGGGATTCTTTTCAAATGGGCCATTTTGCAATGAGGTTAAGTGTGCCCTTGGGAGGTGAGCAGATGTGGGTTTGGAGGCTGGCTGTGTAACCCACTGGCTAGGTGACCTTGGGAAGTTATCTGATGTTGGCAGGCCTCAGTTATTTTAGCTGTAAATATAAGATTGATGACAAAAATAGCGTGAACCCACTGAGTATCTGTTATGAGTCAGGAAGGTGTAAAACTTTGCATTTGTTTTAATGAACCATCCTACCAGCACTATAGGGGAAGATGAAGTTGAGCAATTGGTGAGGATTGGCTTTGCCATAGAGGAGGTGGCAGAGCTTAAATCTGAGCTAAGATCAGCCTGACTCCAGAGCTGGAGACTTTACCTGTTCCCCACTATCAACGTCCTACAGCTGCCGTGACAATTGAACAAGGTAATGGACGTGAGGTGCATTGCACGGGCCTGACTTGCAAAGAACTCTGTCACTGTTGGGATGAACCATGTGAAACTGCTTCTATTTGATCATTTGTGAACTGAAAAAAGGGCCATTTCCTATGGTCAACCTAGAAGATGATGATGACAGATTATTAACGAATAGATCAGCCAGGCTGAGTTGACACTTTGTGAAAACCAGTAGGGAATGTTTCTGTAAGTATTGTTTTTTACAAATGCGTCTCACGAATAAGATTTCCTTTCACTGTTCTCGTTGTAACACTAGGTCAGTGCTGTGTAATGACCTGGATATGACCGAGGTCCCTACGAACGTCCCCGTGGACACTGTGAAGCTTCGCATAGAGAAGACCGTCATCCGCAGCATCCCCGCCGAGGCCTTCTACTACCTGGTGGAGCTCCAGTTCCTCTGGGTGACCTACAATTCCGTCGCCAGCCTTGAGGCCAGCAGCTTTTACAACCTCAGGCAGCTGCACGAGCTGCGCCTGGATGGCAATGCTCTGGACGCCTTCCCTTGGGCGTCTCTGCAGGACATGCCCCACCTAAGGACCCTGGATTTGCACAACAACAGAATAACCAGTGTGCCCAACGAGGCTGTCAGGTACCTGAAGAACCTCGCCTACTTGGATTTATCAAGCAACGGGCTGACCACACTGCCGCCGGAATTCCTGGAGAGCTGGCCCCACGTGCTCACAACATCGCCCCGAAGCCTGGACCTTTCACCAAGAAGAATTATTCTAGGTGAGCTCACAAGCCTCCGCGCTTCTCGGGTCCAGATAATGTGCTCAGCATCCCTTCGGTTGTCCAGTCTTTTTGTATTCATTGAGTTTGGTTGCTTACTCTATACTTGCACTTTTGGTGGAATAGCATTTTATCCATTGACTTAGGTCAATATACTCATCTACCCAGTGTAAGATATAATGGGGTGTGTGTGTCTGTGTCTGTGTCTGTGTGTGTGTGTTGTGAAGGGGGAGGGGAGTTTGCCTCCAAAACTGAGAGACTAACGCTGCCATTAGAGAGCCTGAAGATGGGTGACAAACTGCCCACCTACCCCGGTTCCTCTGAGCACACTGATGCTCCATACTCTGCCACGCTCAACCCGCTGTTCGGTCCTCTTTTCAGCCCTTTGTTAGGCCCTTCAGGAGTGGGAGAGAGGCACTGGCATTTTGATGAGGTTGCAGTGCTTTAATTAGGGGATAGCCGCCAACTTTGCTTCATCAAATAAGAAATAATAAAGACACCAGTTATTTTACGGCCTCCAAATAGGTCTCCTAATGGATTTGGTCTCAGTTTAGCTGTGATTAGTTTTGGATATTTCAATTTTGACTCTGTTTATGTTCTATATATATTTGTCTTGTGTTTTTAAAATGTAAACGCCCTCCAGTAAAGTCTCTCTTTTCTTTTTTTTGTGTCTTCTCACAATGCTTTGTACGGTGCTTTGCACATGGTGAATGGCCAGGAAAAGTGGTTGCCCATTTGAAATCAGTGAACCGAGGCCCTTTTCAGGGGTATCCATGGGCAGCGAGGCCTTTCATACTTACATATGAGACACAAGCCTGAGGCTTTGATCAGTGAGATTGAGTTCCTAAAATGTTGCTTGCCCATTACAGATGTGCTGTGAGCTCATAAGTTGTGTCCATCAGGGCTGCAGAAGAGGCTGTACTTCTCAGAAGGGTGAAAGAACTATTGAGTGCCTGGCCAGTGAAATGAATTGTAAGCCTTTTGGAGTGAGAAGCAGCTAGATGCTATCTACGGCAGCTGTGACAGAGGTGGCAATTTATTATAAAGAAAGACTTTTCTACTTTGGCTTTTTTGTTATTACATTTGAGTCTTTAAAGTTCACCATTAAAATATGGTGATGAGAACCAGTTCTAGATTTTCTAGAGCTCACTTCACTGTTTAACCATAGCAATTAATCTTCCCAGGCGGCCTGGAGAATTTACTCATGTACTGTCATTCTGGGATGCATTCTGCTTTTGTTTCATTTTTATTGCCCTGTGTTTAGTATTGTTGGCAGAGAGAGCTTCTATTTGTAATAATCATCGTAATGGCTAATACAGATGGAGTGTTTACTCAGGGCCACGCCTACCTCTTAGACCTTGTGGGTGTGTCTTCTTCCAGTGTCATACTAACACCGTCCTAAGGACCATCTCATCCCCATTTTGCAGACGAGGAAATGAGGCAGGAGGTGGGCCCAGGGCCCAGCAGTGGAGGAGCTGGGATGAGCACGGGCTGCGTGGCAGCAGAACCTGTGCCCTTCCTCACTCCTCTGTAGTTCAAGGTTGCTCTGTAACAACACCAGGCTTACTTTCCTTCCACATGCATTTCTTCACTGAGTTCTTTGTATCATTGATTTATTTAAAAGAAATTTAGGGAGGAGCTTTTCCATCACTCCTTCTCTCTTCTACATGAGTAAAAATACCAACTTAATAAAATTGTACTTTAATGTACCCATAAAATGCAGTGTCCAGCAAGTAAACATTCAAATTAACTATGAAGCTACATTAGATTTTTGATGTGCAATACAGGTGTTTCCATGGCCTCTTTCTCAAGAACAAGTAAATATTTACACAGGCAGACTCCGTAAGGCCTAACACTGTTTATCTTGGAGAAAAAAGCCTGCAGTCAAAGAGGTCATAAAATGTCCATTGGGTGCTTTTTTCCTGGTACCCAAATTGTTCAGTTGTAAATATGGGTTCTTCTATTCAGAATGGAGTTCGCCTGAAGGGCTACAGTGGCCCCCGAGTACTTCCAAAGAATTTCCAAAAATGGCATTAACTTAATTCAACAACCACTACTCGAGCCCTGTGGGTATGCCTGTCCTTCCCTAGGCACGGAGGGGACGAGTTCCAGGGAGCTCAGGCTTACTCTAGCCAGCCGTCCTTCTGGGGACTGCCGCAGCATCTCAGCCTCCTGCAGAGCCCCCTGAACCGCGGCCGTAATCCTCACCACCCTCTTTTACAGCTGAGACAGAGGCAGAGTCAAGCTTCCAATTTGTAGCCCATCTTCAAGGATATCACTATTTTATTCTTTTAAAAAAATTATTAATTTGAGAAAGATCTATTTGTTCTTTTACTTATTTATACATTCATTTATTGTTTCTTTTATGCGCCCTGACCAGGGCACATTGAGATGGTGCTCCAACTGAGATCCCCAGCCAGGGCTTCATTCTTTTATTCTTTAAACATTTACTTATTTATTTATTTAATTTTGTATTGAATTTATTGGGGTGACATTGGCTAGTAAAATTATGCAGGTTTCAGGTGTAAATTCTATAATACGTCATCTATATGAGGTCTGTCCCAAACATATCCATCCATACCATATGAAAAATAGAGACATTATTGAAGAAGAGACAAGATACAAGAAACATTGTACACAGGACAATGACGCCTCAGTCCTCTTCAAAGTAGGCACCTTGGCACCTCACACAGTTCTCCCAATCGCCATCAGCTGCCCCATTATATTTTCCTGAATCTCACTGATGGTCTGAAATCTCTTCCCTTTCAAAGCGATTTCAGTTTTGGGAAAAGCCAAAAGTCATAGAGCACCAACTCTGGCCTGAAGAGGGGCTGAGTCGCCCGAGTGATTTGATGTTTCACAAAAAAACTGCATGAGACATGATGCAGGAGCAGGCACGCTGTCATAGTGAAGCTGCCCATCACCAGTTGCTCATAGCTACAGCCTTCTGAATTATCCGAATAGTTTCCGTGGAGAAATGTTCAAGCTTAACACAAAATTTGATGGAGGTTTGGTGTTCTACTTGCTAATTTTGAATGCTATGGCCACACAACATATGCTCACTCAGTACACATGGCATCTACCGCTCCCACTGACTAGTGCAGTGAAGTCATCATTGTTCACGCATGTGCATTCCACTCCACTCTCCTTGGCTGCCACTTTACGTCAGTGTTGCCCAAACTGTTCTCATTATATTAGTAATGGCTGGATTTTTTCACCACCTCAACTCAAGTCTCTTTCCATCACCATCTATTCCACCATAACCTCTTCCACCTCCCCCATCCTCCTCTGATAGTCACCATACTCTTGCCTGTGTATTTGAGTTTTTTGGCTTTCTGCTTAATTTCTCCACCTTTTTCACCAAGTCCCCTAAACCTCCTCCCCTCTACAACTGTCAGTCTGTTCCCTGTATCCATGAGTCTGTTTCTATTTTTTTGTTAGTTATTTTGTTCATTAGATTCCACATATAAGTGAAATCACACGGCAATTGTCTTTCTCTGACTGACTCATTTCACTTAGCAAAATGATCTCCAGGTCCATCATGCAGTTGCAAAGGGTAAGATTTCCTTTTCTTTTTTTACAGCCGAGTAGTAAATTTTTCTTTTTTAATTTTGAGGAATGGAGGTATAACTTGCATACACTGAATCTTAAGTGTGTAACTTGGTAAACGATGATAAGTGTGTACTCCTCCCTCACCAAGATGCAGACTAATCCCGCACCCAGGAAGCTCCCCCACGCCTCTTCTCAGTAAATCTCCTCCCACCCAGGCAACACTGTTTTTGTTTCTGTCCCCCAGCTTACTCCGTCTTCCCCAGAATTCCATGTAAACAGAATCATGTAAGAGGCTCTCTTGTGCCTGGCTTCTTCCCCTCAGCGTGATGTTTTTGAGACTCATCAGTGTACTGAAAGGGCCTCGCTGCAGAGTCCCTTCTCTTTTATGAAGGTACCAATTGTTCCTTCTTTCTCCTGTTGTGGGACACAGGGCTGTTTCTAGTTTTCAGCTCTTCTGAATTAAGCTGCTATTTACATTCTTGTGCAAAGCTTTTGTAGCATTTATTTTCATTTCTTTTGGACAAATTCTTAGGATTGAAATTGCTAGGTCATAGAATAACTATATACATAACTTTTAAAGAAGCTGCTCATTAAAAACAAAAGGAAATTGCTAGTCTTTAAAGAGGCTGCACTGTTTTACACTCTCGCTAGCGCGGCAGAACCGTCTGCTAGCTCCATGTCCTCACCAGTACAAGGGTCTTTTCTCTTTCAGCCATTTGGGGGTGGAGGGGGTGGGGGAGCAGCATCACACTGTGATGTAATTTGCACTTCTCTGATGACCACAGCCTGTGCCAGACTTAGGATGGTCTGATGTACAGTGATTCAGCTTATGGCTTTTCAGCTTTACCATGGTACAAAAGTGACATACATTGAGTGGAAACTGTACTTCGAATTTTGAATTTGGATCATTCCCAAAGCTAGTGACATGTGTAATGATGTTCCCTTGGGATGTTGCCTAGTGACAGCAGCCTCAGCTCCCAGTCAGCCACAGAGCACAAGGGTCAACAACTGATACTTTAGAGCAGGGGTCCCCAATCTCCGGGTCCAGGACTGGTACTGGTCCGGGCATGTTAGAACTGGGTTGCACAGCAGGAGGTGAGCTTGAATGTAATGTGTTTGAATCATCCTGAAACCATTGCCCCCACCCCCGTCCATGGAAAAACTGTCTTCCATGAAACCGGTCCTTGGTGCCGAAAAGGTTGGGGACCGCCATCTAGAGTGCCCTGTGTTGCTAGTGTTTTTTTTATATTTTATTTTATGGTTTTGCATCCTATCATGTCTGCAAAAAGCCCCTTTGTGTCTCCTGCTTCTGGTGATAAGAAGAGGAAGGCAATTACTTTGGGGATGAAACAATATAATTAACTGTAGGCTAACGTAAGTGTTCTGAGCACGTCTCAGGCAGGCTAGATTAGGCTGTGGTGTTTGGGAGGTTAGGTGTGTAGATGCAG